AGACACAAACTGGAAAGCTCTTCAAATTTTTTAAAGAGGTCCAAAGTCTGGATAGAAACATTGCAACTCAAAGCAGAAGTCTACAAAATGTCGTGGCAATTAGTTCTAAAAGAAATGAACTTCACAAACTCAAGGCTTTACATGCACCACCAGAATGGTTAGAAATAAAATAAAAATATTGGGCTATAACAATCAATTGCACGGAGGGGAGTGAGCAAAGGAAATGTATTTTTAGTAAGAGTAAGGTCAGTACATTCATACAAAGCTTAACATAATGTTATTAGAGTTTGTCACACACACATCATTCTATTGCCATTGAATGATTTTCAACTATAGTTGAATGTGTACTCAATTAATAAACAAAACCCACATACACAAGCAGGTATCTGCTTTTATAGTTGACACGCTGCAAACCATACCAGGCGAGTGTCAGTGATAAGTCAAAATAACTGCCTGCCTGATACAGAAAATTTAGTCTATAATTCACAAATGAAAATCCCTACTACTTGCCGATACAAACAATCAGACTCACTAGTTGAAAAGACAAATGAATGACTCTTAGGAGTACGAAAAGCTTGCTTCAGAATATTTCATACAACAAAACATTAAATTCAAATTACCAGAGGCTATAAAGCAATTAATAAACAAAAGAGAGGATTTACAAAATCACATTGAGTTGCTGTATAGCTGGCACAAAAGTAATGCACAAGCACAAACCCCTTCACGCAATTTCTTTAATCTAAGTCTTGATCCAGGGAGTTGGTGACTTGTTCGACATGCAGATTTCTTCAACTTCGCAACTGATGCCTGGAGGATGAAAAAGACAACAAATAGATATCAAATAAGGTCGGGAACAGACAATAATAAGCTCACTTATTTATATAAGTACAAGCAGAAGGTTAGTGAGTGTGATGTGATACATACCCAAGCTCTCCTTTCTAGAAAAACTGCCACTACAAAATCCAAATGCGAAGGTGGAGTGAGCCGTTAGGGATGGCCAGGACACAGACACTCAACAGATGATTCTTGGTAAACCTATGAGTAATAAAATGAAGACAAAAACAAAACAAAAACAGCAAAGCAGACAAAATTAAATTTGCCAAGAAAATAAAAAATAGTTTGTGAATGAGGAAATGTGGATTGCGACAAGCATTTACCAACACCTCCAATCCTCACGATGTATAAGATACTGCAACAAGACACCAAATCCACAAAGCCGATTGGAGCCATACTAAACCAGCATTTACACCCCGTCAGTGTCATCTGCAACACTTGGTATCAAATGAATAGAGTGTCACAGGTTTTAATAGTCTAACTAATTGATGCTTATTCACTATGGATTTTAGATAACAGTTCACAAATCAGTAAACAACTTTTACACATAAACAGTAAAAATCTTGAAGCAAAATGACATGCAAACAATTTAACAGGAAGATAAATACTCACCTCAAACTGCAGCAGCACACGCCTTGAAGTCAACACCAACATAATTAATCCTGTCAAAATTCAGTCGCCGATACTTTGATAGGGACCTGCAGACAAAACAATGAGCAGGAGTTAAAGAGTACACGCGTTTTGTTTTCTTGAAAAATAGAAGTGTATGTGATAGATAATAATAAAATTTAGGTACTTACATATCATAGCTGCTGGCTGCTGTGTATGGATGCCAAGCTGGACTCCAACTATATGCTGACAATTACTTGAGGTAAGGTTGTGATGAAGAGGTTCCTGCCCTGATTCTGCACAATGAGCAATGAAAGCTGGACGTGGGGCGTTGCGGAGATTGCCACTCCAACAGCGTACCTGAAACCACAAACAACCCTAATTAGCATACAGAGTGATATATCAAAATGAAAAATTAAAGGAAAGTTGCCACAGCTATTCAAATTTAACACTTAAGGAGACATTAACAAATCAAGCAGGAATGTAAAGAGCAACTAAAATTTTAACAAAAGCAGTACTGTAAAAAAAATGAAGGGACAAAGAGCCAAGTAGGAAAGGGAGCGAAGACGCTTGCTCAAAGGAAGCATAAGCGATGGCTAAAACCAAAGGCATATCGGTGCGAGCAGAAAGAAAATTGGAATCCAATGTGACAAAGCGGGGTTATGAAGACTCAAAACCACAATTTGCAAACGAGCAGACAAAAAAAGGGCGAATTCCAGGTGGAGGGGACTTACACTGTCAACGTGTAGAATCGAAGAAACACAGTGACACCGAAACTATGGCAATAAACACCAAATGTGAAAATATTGTTTTGAAAGCGTGATAAGAATGACGCTCGCTTGAGTCTTATCCGCAGTTGCTGTGGCCATAACGTATCGTCGTGCGTCTAAACACCTCTCCAGACGCTTCGGCTTCGGAGCTAAGGGTATTTCCTGGGTATTTCCAGACGTTTGTGACAAGGCGTATCGCCATCAGAACGTCCCAGCTGTTTTGTTTTGTTTCCTTTCGATCCAATGATTCAATCAGTGATTCTTGTGTTTTTTAGAAGTATATTGTAAAAAAAATCAGTGTGAGAGCTTGAAAGTACGAAGAAAAGTACAAGTTTACTGTTGTTTTGAAGTTTTCCTGGCAATGACGGCCGATTTTTTCCGGTGCTACTTATCGTCTGTGCCAAGAAAAGTACTGAGAACAAAGTATAAACCCCCCGTGTAGTGCAGCAAAAATTACTTTCGAGTGGCCTGAGTTGTTGTCCTTCTTGATGACTCAGGATCCTCAGGAAAAGGAAAAGGCTGTGCAATGCTTTTCTGTCCTGGTGAGTGAAACAAAATATATGTCCCCCCCCCACACACATTCTCAGCTTTCCTGTAACTTTGAATCCGTTTAATAACACCAGTACCATTCCAAGTATATTTCCTTTGATCGATTCACTTAGCATTGGCTTTTCTCCTGCTGGAGCTATTGTTACATTTTGCCTTCTCTCTGCAGCAAGTATACTGCATACGATTAAAAGATTATTGCATTATTTTGCAATGATTTTCTCCCTATGCTTTTTACCACAATTTTCTTTTTTGCAATAAAAAGTTATCATGCCTTTAGGCATGGGAGTCACAAAACATAGTTACCGCATATTTTTGTACTGTAGGCAACCCACAGCCTCCCCCCCTCCCCCCCTCCGGTCAGGCGGACCTAAAACACTAAAACCAAGCCTGGTATTTTTGCTAGTGTACAATGAGTTTTGGAGTGGGGTACCCCTCGATACCAACAGCTGGATCATTTCGAGGTTCCGAGTGTTTGTGAGTTTCTCCTTGACTGAAGACGGGAGATACAGTGTAGATGAGCGCAACGTGAACTGTGAAAGGCATCAATGTTGCCCACGGAAACAAATTACATGGTGAACAAAAAGTATGTAACCATTTCAGTTTGGAGGTAACGAAACAATGTCCAAATGAAAGCAGTACATCAGAACCAGTAGGGTCATGCAAAGCACACAGTTAAAGAAATAGGCCCACGCGTTGAAGAAAGCGCGTATTAACAAATTAAAATGTATCAGAGTCAAAATTTACGCAACAAAACCTAGGGGAAAATGTCACATCGGAGAGCCATGGTCTTACCTCAGTTGCACTCGGTTTAACAGCTTCAAACCGAGTGTTCGGGAGCAAAGGCCTCTGCTGCAAGATCTATAAGCTGTACTTTGAAAAAATATTGTCACTTCTCGTTAACACAAGCAGGTGCGATAAAGGCAATTTGACGGCTTATGACTATAAATTCCCTGTTTGCTGGACTGGCAGAACATCCTTCCATTATATTCTTCAGGGAGCCTGCTCGTCTCAGTGCAGTTCATGGCAATACTCAGCAAGTCAGTTACTCACCTTTCATTTTCGTATTCCTGATGGTTTTGAAGTCTCTTGCTTATTA